GAAAATAAATAGAAAGAAATTAAATAGAAAGAATAGAAAGAAATTTAAAAAAAACAGTTAACAAGATAACGATCAGTAGCAAAAGTTAATAATGTTAATATGGAAGTGTAAAAATTATAATTCAGTTATAAATTCCGCGCATATCTTTTGATCCTGCTATTCAGCGTTATTTAAAATCGAGAGAATTACGCAAAAATATTATCATAATCGATAGGAGAGAGGGGGGGAGTAGGGGGTGTGGAGGGGGGAGAGGGGGGGCTGACTTTCGTTCATATCTTATCTCGGGAATTAATCTCGTCGATTTATATTCGGCTTCCGTTGAACGTAAATACAATTATTAAAATACGAATAATATGCATCTCAACTATTCGCCTTCCTTATAATGTCGAGAGTAATTGGGCCATTACTATTGCATTCGAACGATCGACAGCATTAAATTGTTTTACAATCTAACTACTTTCTAATTGCTGCTTTCTTTTGGTTTTTCCAGCTGCTCATTATGCGGACGCATTCCTGGACGCGACTATTGCTGCACTATAAACATTTTATTTAGCATAGATATAGAAAACTGTCGATATGCGATTGTTCAATTATGCCGTGTTGGCTGGAAGTGGTATTTAGAAATTATTTTTCAATACTTGAAAAAATTTGTAACGAATAACATTTTTTTCTGTAGAATAAAAATTCAAAGTCTAAAGTTACTTTTCTAAAAGAAAAAGAAAGCGTATTTTGTTTAAATACTCCATTTAGTTGCAACATTTATGCAACAAATAAATAATAAAATAAAAACTAAATTAAAATAATTAATAATAAATTAACGTTACAAATATATAATTTAATTAATATTAAATATATAATTATATAAATATGTATATATGTATAAATCTTTTAAACATCAAATTTCTTTCTTCTGCACAATATAAAATTTTATAAATTGAAGAAGAAATTGGCATTGTTACAAATTATATTAAAGTACGAAGAAAGAAGAATGATTTGGCACGCAACTCGCGATACTTACTTTGACATTTTGGTGTCATATTAAGTTAACGAGCATACAGAGTTGACTGCATAAAATCAAGCGTGACTAAAAGTATCGTAAAACAGTAAACGGCGTTGAAACCTAGTCATCACTTTCTAGTTCATTGAAACGCTTCAGCCAATGCACCGTGACGATTTTAATTCGTCACGCGAATATTCCATACCATTTCTCAAGATTAATGAGGATAAGTTTGACTTGATCAGTTGTGTTTTTTCTGTCGAAGAACGTCCGATTTGACATAGATACGTTGAACGTGTAAAGAATGTAATTGCTCTCTAGGAAAACTACACTGATGTGCACTTTTTTTTATTTATAATAGTTGAAAAATGTTAAATTTATGAACAAATTTATGAATAAATCTAGTAGACTTGTATGATGATCACGATATGCATAAATTAATTTACTGAAAATTTAGAACAATTTTATGATCATTTATGACATTATAAAAGCAAAAACATTTATATTAAGGTAAATATAAAATTTAGGTTATTTGAATGATTAGATTTTTTGTTATAGAATTCAAAAACATATGTATGAAAATATATCTTCAGATTTATAATATTTTTTTACGATATTACTATATGAAATATTTACATCATATATAATTAAATGAAATACATCGTATAATGATGTACATTTACAATTATTATGTGATATCATAGTAAGCATAAATGATTTGTAAACTTTTATTTATTTCATGCCGCATATAGTAAGATAAATATACTGTAAAATTTGGGTAAACAAATGTCGATTTTGATGTATCGAATTTTGTTGAAAGGATTCGTAATCTTGATGTGATGTCATAGTAAGCATAAATGATACGAGATATTAATTATTAAAAATTGTGGAATATTAGTTTTCAATAATTTTTTACTGAAGTAGTATCAACTTTACAGAAAAACAGCAAGAGGCAAAAATTGTTTATTTTTTCTCATAGAATTCTGAGAATTTTTTATTAACTTTTTATTACTTCATTTTCTTGTTGGCAACTATTTTTACCAACATGAGAAAATGCGGTACTAAAAAATTCTGAAAAAAATCTAAAAAAATTCTCACAATTTTATAAGAAGAAAATAAACAATTTTTGTCTGTAGCTATTTTTTCGTAAAGTTAATAGTACTTGAGTAAAAAATTATTGAAAATCAATATTCGGCAATTTTTAATAATTAACCAATATAATAAGATTTTATTCGGACCGACAAGAATTAAACACTAAGTATAAGAATATTCAAGCCTATGACAGTCAAAGCTAGTTTAATAATTAATATCTTGTTAACTATTGCGAAAATTGTAAAATGGTAATAAGAGGACTTTTCGTCTCACAATCAGTTTAGTCCGCTCTACCTGTCCACGAGCAGGAGAGTTATCAGACACCCTATATATACAGGGTGTCTCGGAAAATGTTACCGAAACACAGTGGTGACATAGATTGGATCAAGGGGAACAAAACAGTTTTGTACCATTTTGCAGTTGACGCAATCTTTAACGAGATATTAACGTTTAAAGATAGGCGAATACGAGCGTCCAACCAGCCTACTGATCATGTACTGC